TATCAATTGCCTAATAGTTATCAGGGTGGGCAACTAAGGCAAGATGCACTGTGAAACAGCTGTCGCTCCTGGTTCTATTAGCTAGGGCAAAACCATGCCTCCTCTGATTTCCCAGTTAAAACGTTATACACACCCATGTATGGGTTCTCAGTCAAACCATGTACACTCAACCTGAACTGAGAGATGCACATTTATGTTGTCTTTGTGAATACAGCCCATGAGGACTTGTCCTACGGTTATTTATCCCAGTTCCACCAGGTTTTCAGTTCATAATTATTTGCCAACATAGGGGATATCTCTTCCTACCGAAATCTCCACACTGCTCTCGCTCATGGAAGAGGATGGTAGGTTTGCCAGCATCTCTTTGGAAAAAGCTGAAGAAGAGTCTCCCAGGTCTCATGGAGATCCCACTGCAGAAAGTCTTCTGTGGAGCATGTCCTGCCTCTAAGCCAAGAGCTCCATTTCTGAACGCCTCAAATGTCCCTGAATGTGACTTTAAAGGGAAAGGCAGACTGAGGGAGATCTCAGAAAAGGCTCACTGACATGAACTCACACGTCTAGCTTCTTTCTTCTAAAAGAAGGGATTAGAAAAAAAAATTTTCAAGGCAGAAAGGGGAATCCCAGAAGCAGCAGTAACTTCAAAAGGACCTTCTCACAGTAAACTTTCTTAGCATTTTGCAGGAGGGTGATCATAGCAGCAGCTGAGGCTTTAGTCACTGGCAGACTCTGAACATGCTTCTCCTAATTAACTGGGTTTGTCCAGAAGTTTCCTTCTCTTACGTGGAGCCAGCATGGCCTGCTTTGGAGGACAATGGCCAAGATCTGAAACATAATTGTAGATCTCTGACCCCACCAACACATCCACATCCCCAAAGTGACTGGGCAGCATTACATCTGAGGGATGAATCTGGGAGGACACGTGGACACTAGGAAAGGGCATACTGTACTTCACTGACCTCTGTCAAGCAGCACAGCACCTGCAGGCACATCAGGGTGAATAAAACCCAGGGAAGAGGGTCTGATGTGGAGTGCAATCCAATGGGGCAGGTAGTGGCTTACAGATACAGGTAAAGAGGGTTTGCTAGCAGAACAGTGCACCTAACCTGGACTTCAGCCTGCATTTTTGTCCACCTACACTTGGTGAGAGGCAGATCTCGTGAGCACAAAATAAAATGGCCATTGCCTTGCAAAAACTAGCTACGACCCTAAGCAAACTTCCAAGACTAAGAAGGAAAGCTTGACTAAAACTATCCCAGACCCCCATCTGCATTTAGTACTGACATAATTGTCAGCTCTCTCCTCATTGTCAGCTGATTTCACCATGGTCTTGAACAGAAGAATCCTGTGTGGCCCAAGAATAGCATGCTGTCTGGGAAGCAGAGCTCATCACGGTTACATGGGATCCACCGTGGAAGAAATTATGCAGATTTCATAAGGATGTGAGCTTCCTCCCTGCAACACTCAGTGGTTTTGGTGACGTTTCTAGTTTGAGCATGTGGTTGGGACAACAGAGGTCCTGCATTTTTGCCCGTACTGGAAGACTGCCAATGCTCTTCACAGCTTCCTCCCTGTTCTGATCTTACAGTTGCCCGGTCTAGGGACTTGTCATAGATCCCAACACAGACCCCACAAACGTATGTGCTTGCGTATCGCAGGAAGAAAATGTGAGAGGACCTGGGCCATGCATGGATTTTGTCCTGACAAGGAGTGATGACTTGGCCAGGACATACGCCCCAGCCCAGAAGCTGTCAAACATTCCCAGGTTCTTCAGTTTATGCATAGTTCTGGTGACCCACCTCAAAAGTGTATGTGAAGAAGGGTCTCAAATTTACTTAATGCTTTCACCTTCCAGAACTCTCATATTCAGTGGCAAAACAGCTCTTCAAAGGCTGCACTGACAGACCTACTAATATCTCAGGTTATGCCACCGGTCGGGACAGCTCTCCTGTGCACGTACGGCTTATCTGTACAAGTATAACAAGTCCGATGCATCCCAGCTACTTCCAGCCGATTACACACACAGCGGAGCTGGCAAGGACAGGGGCAGCAAATGCAATACATCAAGAACACAGTGGGCAGGCTGCAAAACAGCCATTTCCAGACCCAGGGTCTTTTCAGAGTCTCAAAGCTGCAGCTTACCACCCGAAGCATTAGGGCTGTCAGGTCTGCATCAAAGACACAGCAAAACATACAGTGCTATTTAACACCCACTTCAAATAAAACAGTTTTTGTGATTATAGTCATTTAGGAAAGCCCTGCAGCTTGGGGAGTGGGGAAGCATGCTCTGGACACTGTTTTTGGGTCCTGAGGTAATGGAGACACTGTAAATAGATGTCTGATAAGAATCTGTCACCAGATTAATCAGGATCTTTGCAAGCTGTAACTTAAAACACCTACCCTGCTTAACCACTAGAATTTAAAGGGACGACACTCATATATATAATGTTATTTTCAGTCACGTTTTGCATTCATGCAATTAGTGTCAACTAATTGATGAGCTGGTTCACCAGTATAACAAATAGTGCTCTACATTATCTGTTATTCTTCAGGTAATATTCCACATCTAATCACTGCTCACTTCATGAATCTAGTATCTCTTCAGAGTACTAATCTACATTAGAAAAACACTGTTGAAGCCTCTTTAATTTGAAAATGATATGGCAATATAGTGTTAGAATATAAAAACAATTTCTTCAAGTATGCAAGATTTTATGTCCATTATTGTAACATGTTCTTCCCAAACTAAATTTTTACTGTCACAATAATCTAAGCAAAAGCTTAGGTGTGTTTTATCTTACATTTCTTACACACACATTAATTCTGGCTTCTGCTTCTGCGACCTGAGGTAGCTGCCTTTGTCAAAAAGGGGAGGGAAAAACCAGTTAATTGCAATTAACCTGCAACCTTCTGTGCTTCTAAAGAATAGAAGTCCTCCTGTACAGACAGGACGGTTTCTGTCGTGACTGCAATAAACTAGGCCACTGGGTTCAATCCTCAAGTTTCCTTGACCTACTAAATTTACAGTAGTTTCAATGTTTGTTCCTTCCAGCCTGCTAACTCACTGTTGCAAAAAAAAACCCCAAACACACCAACAAAAATCCAGAAACACATATTTAGAGTCCTGCTGCTTCACAGCCTTTATAAGAAGTTAATAAGCAGAAAATGAAGCATTATAATTAGAAATGGAACCAAGCAAATAAAGTTTAGATTCATATCTATACGTTTTATAGCCGTGCTCCTGATCCAAGCCCGGCTCTAATTACAGTGGAAGCTCTTTCCTTCCGGAGAGGACTTTTGCACTGAGGCTCAGAGGGACATTCAGGCCCTTTGCTATTTCAGCCAGGTAACCCGGTGCAGGGGTTGCACACGGATGCTTTGGGAATTGTTTGTCCCCAGAATGAGTACACAGGCCTGTCAGAAGGGGGGCAAGCACCTTCCGTTCCCCTCTATTCCTCTACCAGTGAATTCCTGCTTGCACAGGAATGAGGCGCTCTGTGCACGTATCTTATTTATTTGGTAACACTGTGTGTTTCTGCTCGTGTCCTCCACCCAAGGAATGGTACAGCATGTAACTACAGGGTCTCGCTGAGCATCTTTATGAACCTGGCTATGAAGGAAGTGGGAATCAGTAGTGTAACAACAGAGTCCCATGGATATGGGTGAAAAAAAGGGGATCGGGCAATTATTCCCTATAGGATGAACTGTAAATGGCATCAGAAGCATAAAATGAATAAACCATCAGGGTTGTAAGAGAAACTCCAAGGTCATTTGGTCCAACTACATGCTCAAAGGAGGGCTGACCTCGAAGTCAGACCCAAGCAATCCTGCCGTGCGTCATTCCTTGCAGAAAACGACAGGGAACTCAACACCGGTGCATGTTGTGCTGTGACACAGAGCAAAATGCTCTCTGCAGTCCACAGTGCAATGAAATGTGAAAAGCACGGGGTAGCTTTACTCCAAGGGGATGCGGAGATCGCAGGAGCTCGAAGGCCCTCAGCAGCACTGCTGGGAGGGGCCATGCTCTACATCCCATGGCAGCTGAGACACTACATGGCTGCGGAGAGCCCGTCCTGCTCCGCCTGGGTGTTGCTGATGTATCCAGCTCTGTCACCTATCACAAAATACGTTAAGAGTCAAAAAGCATATAGGTAAATTTAAAGACAACTTATTTTCCATTGTGCTCTCGGAGAGAAGAAAATACTTTTGTTTCCTCTTTCATTTTGCACCCCAATCAGGGGGCCACCATCACAAATGGGAAGGAATAGGTTGTTAGTGCCACGGGAAGCACTGGCGTGCTGGTTGCAGGCACCGGCGTGCGGTGGGTCCACTGACCCACCAGCAGCCCCACTGTGCCCTTTCCACTGAATCCTGGAGGCAGCATGTCCAAATCAGTATTTTCATGCACACTGCCGCAATTTTTTCCATGTACAGTTTAGCCACACGTTTTTGGTTTAGAAGCCCTTTAAGTATTTGATCATAGGATGTCAAGGACATTTGACTTAAGAAGTGGAGGAAACTAGAAACCACACAAACGCTATGAATAGAAGCTAGGGAA